GTTGCAGTCAAACCAGTTTTTAGTTAGGATGCGTTTTAACTAGTTAAAACTAGTTTATACTGGATGTCTTTGTTAAAACTCGTTTTGTCTAGTTAAAACTTAGATTTACTGCTAGTCAAAAATGAATTTGAGTTAAAACTAGTTTTAACTAGACAAAACGGGTTTTAACAAAGACATTCAGTATAAACTAGTTTCAACTAGTTAAAACGCGTTCTAACTAAAAACGGGTTTTGACTGTAACATATATATAAAATCCACAAAAAAATTTTCTATATATATATATATATATATATAGAAAATTTTTGTATAGAAAATTTAATAGAAAATTTTTAAATAGGTATATTTTAAATGATTGTATTCCATCATACATTCTATTCTGATACATGTTTCTGAATAAGTTCTTTAACTTGAGGATGATTGCTAAAAGCTATTGAAAACATTCATTTTCACCAAACGTTATGTTTCATGAGCTGGATTTTTTGTTGTGTAAGTGTTTTGATTCTCTCGTTGTTTTATTTTTTTTCTTCAATTATTTTATAATTATATCTACAATGAAATGAGAAAGAAAAACCATGATTTAGTGTTTGATATGAACTATTCTAAACTGCATGCTTTCAATGGCTACTCAAAAAGCACAGGGCATACAGTGAGGTAAGTTATGTAAAAGTTTTATTTCTGTTCTAGCAATTTTTTGCAGGATATGTAACATTACAGGTTATTCAAATTATTATACAAATGTAATTGTAGTAATTGAAATAAAGATATCAATCATATGTAAATGAACCAAAGATAAAAACTTGATAATTCATAATAATGAAGATAGATTTAAAGTTTGTTTTACCATTGCAGATCATATTAAAAACATACAGATATTGCATGATACTGATTGAGAACTTTGAGACTGGAAGAACATTAAAAAAATCTGTAATATCTTTTGCAATATACATAATCTATATAGATGTAATAAATGTGTGTTGAACTAGAGCAATGTGAAAAATGCAGTTACAAAGAATACACAATGTAAAAAAATGTACAGGAATACCCTAGTTGGTGCAGTTAATGCATTCCAGAAAATTACTGAAAATCCAGAAATGTATTTACTATGAAGAATGACAGCAGTCTGTCTGAAAGATTTTTAAATAAATAAACATTTATTTTTATAATGAATCTCCCAGTAGTGCAGAATTAATTTTCTAATGCTTTTTTATGTAAATGCTGCATTCTTCATTTGGATTATTATTCAAAATTATACCAGAAAACCTTTTAAAACTATACTTGATAAAAGCCCAAATTGTACAGCATCAAAAACATACCAAGTACTGAAAGGTGAACAATGGACTGAGCCTGCTAGCTATTTTATCAATTATTCTCAATCTGTTGGCAGCAGCATTGCAAAGTTAATGTGTAATACAATATATTTTTGCTTTAAAGTTTTTAATTGCTGAATTAAATGCAAGTACAAATTTTTCTACTTTTCGAAAAATATATACAAAGTTTTTATAAACTAAATTTATTGTCTAAGTGAATAGTGCATTTTTAAAATGATGTTGGTCCACTTTTTATTGTTTAAATTTATTCCATTTTTTTGTGACAATTTTAAAATTCTAGTTGCGAGTTCTCTTGAGTTTGGATTTAAAGAATACTACTTCTATCTGCTTAATCTCAATTTTTTTTTAACTTAAGACCAGGGGTCACCAAACTTTTCTCACAGTGGGCCAGATAACTGAGAGAATGCCGAGTGTGAGATACATAACCATTTTGTTCAATACAGTATACAAAAAAATAAAGACAATATATTTATTTACCAATACACAAACACAATTGCTGCAGCAAGCTCTTCTTAGCAATTGCTTTTCTTAGAAACTTCATTGCAAGTACTTACACAAAAAGCACTCTGATATCCAAAGTCGCAAAAAGTCATCAAATTTTTATTTTACTGATTTTCCTAAAAATTATATATATTCCTATCAGATGCAAAAATCAAATTGGACTGCTTCTGGAATTTTTACTTGCACTTATTTTAATTTTTTCTACATAGTAAATTTATCTACAATCTATGATATTTCCATATAAATAATTATATTTTAGCTTGTTTATGGCACAGTGGCAGCAAGCCGAATGAACTGACCTCACAGGCCATAGTTTGGTGACCCCTGCTTAAGACTATTATTTCCATTATTGTAATCAAATTTTTCCTTGTATTGTTTATTTTATTGAAGTAAAACAATGCTGCTTGTTTAATTTCTTTAGTTTCATCTAATATAATTAATTTCAACTACATTTAAACACTTAGATTCACAAGTTATAGGATTATTGAAAAAGTGATCACTTTTCTAATTATAAGTTCAGTCAGATTTTTTAAAAGAAAACATAATCAAAATTTGTTGATTTTTATCAATGATAATAAGTTCATTGACATTTTCAATTGATTTTTAGTAGAAATTTTGCACTGTTTGCTGGTTTTTCAATTAAATAAAAACACACAAAATTATGTAACGTTTAGTTATATTTGGAAGTTCTTGCTATATTTAAATTAAACTTGAACTACTTATATCAAAAATGTACTAAAGGTTGCCAAATATAAATGAATTAACTTCATTGTTATTGAGTGAGAAGTTTGATTTCTTTTTTATATAATGTTTTACATTAAATTTTAGAAAATATCTAGAAATAAATGTTATGGATGTACAGGACTCTTAATACAAAAGGAGATTACTATTAATGTTTTACATTCGTTGGAAGAAATTTGAGCATAAAATATATACAATATAAGCAAAACCCAAATTTTTTTTTTTTTTTGTAAGCACTTCAATGTTGTTTGGAAAACATTAATAGGATAATTGAGTTATGCTGAAAGAAGTATAAGTTTTGACTTTAAGAAGCAATGAGAAATTTAAAGTAATATGGAATTCTTCAAGAATTTAATAAGCTTAAAATTTTTGTCTCATGTAATTTCATATTTTATCACTTGCTGTTACTACAATGAACAAATAATTAGGACCAAATAATAATCTTACTGTTACTTATTAATTATAAGTTATTAATTTTTATTTAAAGTAATTAAATTCATATTCATAAACTAATGAACAACAGTTAATCCAAAGTTACTAGTTAACATTCATTTTACTTTAACTGTATTTGAAAGCTTATTAATTTATTAAATTTGACTCTGATTCTTAATTCTGGATTTTGAATATAAAGATAGACAGCAGCAAATTATTTGAATTGTTAATTATTATACAGTATTTTCTGCAATAATTGAAGAATATATCTGGAAATCTTGTCATAAATAGATGTACCCATAAGTATAGCCTTGTTAATTTTTTATTTGAATTTAGTTTGTGAAAATGAAATTACATTCTTATGTAATTGATAAATTATAAGTTTTGAGAAATAATATTTGAGTCAAATTTTTTGTTATAGATTTTCTTTATTTTATATATATATATAATTTTAGTTAGTAAGTGATAAGTATATTTAAACTCTATTTGTATTATTGGAATATTGTTTCTATCATATCATAAGATGATTTAAATGAGCTTGTAATTTATCAGCATTTAATGCATTCCATAATCAAAAAATAATGTGTTTATTCTAATAAACAATGTAGCTACAAGACAAAAAGTTAGACAGCATTTTTTAATAGTGAGTTATCTGTTGAAGGAAGATAGGGCTTATTGTAAAATGAAAACTGCACATTTTATTCAGCATTGTTGCTACCAAAATTTGGTAGATGTATGAAAATGTATATCTTACCATATGTTAAAATAAAGTTTGTTTTGAATGTTATGTTGTTCAAATAATAAAGTGAAAAAACTTAGTGAACTTATTTCATTAATAGTCATATCTAGTTCCCAAAGAGTGTAGATTATAGCTGCAACCATAATTAATTAAATCCAGTGTAAATAGCACAGTTGCAAGATGAAAAACGTATAGACAGCATGGTGTTAATTAGAATAAATATATTGCAATATAGCTGTAAATGTTATTTGAAGAAACTTGTTTGATAAATATAGCTTGCTTTTTAACAAAAATTTAAAATTTTTATATTTTTAATTGCATAACTGTAAATGTAAACTGTTACTATATATAAAATGCTAAAAGTTTTGAATAACTTTTTACTTTTACTCTATTTAAATAACATTTACTATATAGATTGTAATCTAAAGTTTTAAAAATTATTTAATATAATTATATCTTGATTTTTAATTTAAAAATTATTTTTACAGTGTTGCTGTGGGGGCCGTGCCATGCACGACAGTGGTCCGGAGAATCATTTAAATGGCATTCTGCATTCAGAAAAAGTAGCAGTTCTGGATGCAGGAGCCCAATACGGAAAGGTATGTTTTATATTTTATAATTTTTTTTTTTTTTAATATTATGAAATAAACATTAATTTTATTCCACATTAAATTTTTAGAGGTCTCTATTATATAACGTTTAGCATTGGCAAACAACTGTTTTTATTATTTTTTTATTTTTTCTTTTTCTCTTTTTATTTTATTTTATTATATTTTTTTTCTGAACAAATTTTAATTGCCTTTTAACAAAGATATCTTTGTTAAAAGCATTTTTAAATGAGCAGAATTTTAATTTAGTAATAATAATAGCTGAAATGTTTTGATAATAAACTATTCACTTTTTGTTCTTAGATTTAATATAAATTATAAAATGGCCTTGAGCTAATTTAAAACTTTTTAAATTTTAACTAAGTACTTATCATATGCTATAAAATTTGTTTGATAAACAATTTAAAGAAACAGGAAAACTTTCATTTTAAAATCAATGACCATTATCTTATATCTGCAAATTTTTATTTAAAAAAATACAAGGACATCTCATTTTTCCATCTCCTGCCAGGAATATTAATATAAATATACCATTTATTGCTTATCCTTACATTTAAATTTCAACATGATTCATTTACAAAATATTCTGTTTTAATTAATGATATTAATTTTAATAGCTTGAGAATATTTTTAATGCTGTTAAGATGAAAAATTTAATAAAATCATAATTTTGTTATTTTGATAGTTTTTTCCCCTTTTGTTATATTGCCAACTTCTGCCATTAATGATTGATATTTGGTGATTGTTTTCAAAAAGTCTTTTAATCCATTGTTTTGACTGAAACTTTACAACAGAATTAAGGTATTTTATTATTATGTTGTCTATTGAATGTCTTCTATCAAACTTTCCAGCATTAATCCATTTATCTATTATTATTATTATTATTTAAATATAGTTTTAGATAAAAATGTCTTATGTAGAATTTGTTTTTGATCATACTTAAACCATCTCTTTCATTCACTCTTTCTGGAAGAAAATAAATATTTAAGATAAATGTATATGTAGGTAAATGAGATGTTGTTGTATTAATAATATGTGAAAATTCTTTTAAGATGATGATGTAACTAAAAAAACTTTCAGATTACATAATGTTAGTGCTTATGAGTAGTTTGTCTAAAATTATGAAATATGTATTTGTTTTATTTTCAGTACCAATTTTTAAATAGTTCTGTTAAATATTTTTTATTTGAATAATTATTTAATTTCTTTTCTATATATATATTTTGGAGTATGCAATTTATATCTTTTTTTTTCTGTAATGTATTTCTTCTCAGATAATTTTTAATTCAGCAATTTGCTTATATATAATATTTTTGTTTTAAAAGTAAGAAGTAATTAGAATACATGAAGGTCATATCTCATTCAAGGTCATTCTTTCATTTTATTCTTTACATTTTAAGTGTTTATGAAGTTTATATTCTGGATATTTTATTGACTTAATTAAATAATTAGTTGAAAATAATTCATGATATGTACAAAAAAATTATGTAACAAATACAGTAAATGAATAAGTAATTTAAATATGTACAGTATATCAAAACTAATATAAATCATGTCTTATTTGAAAATAACTAATTTTAAAGCACAAGAACTAATAATAATGCAGATTTGTTTTTATCTTAATTGTTTTATTATTTTTTTTTATTGTATATGGATTTCATATTTTTTTTAATTGTGGATAATAGGAATATTAAAATGCATAAAAATAGAAATAAAAGTAATTTTCTCATCAAGAAATGTAAGAAGAAAAAGCTTTGTTAGACATTTTGAAATAAAATACATTACTAATATAATTTTTATTTATTAATTATAAATACTTACTGAAATATTGGTGTAGACCATTATTAATCTTGATTACTACAAAACAAGTCTGTCTTCAGTTTATTCAGTTTTAGAAACATTTTTCAAATTAGTAACATTATCATTAGCTTACAATTTATCCTTAAGTAATGTGAAAATAGTGTTTATAAGAAATTTTTTGAGATTTAGATCTTTAAAATTAAGATATTAGAAAATTAAATCATATAACTAAAAATATTAAGTATAAATTATCTGTTAAGTTGGAATTAAAGTAAAAAGACTACTGATAAAATAATTTTTATTATTTAGGTTTTTAAAAGGAATGTTATATTGCTTGCCTACAGCATTACCTTTTGTAATCATTAGCAAATATTACAAGTCTGATTATTGTTTTTTTTTCTTTCTAACTACAAAAAAGTTAATTTTGTTAAATTACAAATTAGTTAAGTATTTTAAAAGAAGTAATCCTAAATGTATAATACATTACTTTAAACAATTATTAAAATATTGATTATTCTTGTAGTTTAATTTGCAAAAAATTTTAATTCAGAAGATTACTAAACACATTTAGATATAAACTATATTAATATTTTGTAAAAATGTACAATTTATTAAATTAATATATAGGAATAGAAAAAAAAATCAATCTTAAATGAGACAGAATGTATAGATTTTAAGAAAGTCTAAAAGTTAAATAATTATATATGTAATGAATTTATTTAGATTTTTTTATAAAAAAATACCACACTTCATAAGAAGTGATATTTTTAGTCGTTCTTATGAAGTTTGTTGTTTGATCACTTGATAACTATGAAGTGAATCTGAATGACTAATATGGAAAACTTAGCACTAAAATAATAAAGTATAAGTATGAAGTGTACTAATTATAAAATGGTAATAAGCTCATATTTATTAAATGTTTTGAAATTGATTTTCATTTTCAGTTATTTAATATTAATTAATACCGTTTATTAGTAAAAATTTTTTTAACTACACATCTTATAAGTATTGTAGAAAAGTCTATATTGACACCAGTGTAAAGTTTGATCTGAGGATGGAAAAAGTATTAACTTTTTAGACTAGAAAAAAAATTAATTTTAGCATACTCTTAAAATAAGAACATTTTAATATTTAGAACTAAGAAATGTAATATATTCCATAAAAAATGCAATGCATATTTTTGTGAACATTACAACATTTTACTCTTTACAGAAATTATAAGTTAAATTTTAAGAATTTTAAATTTGACCATCTGACTTACTGAAAAAATTAAATACCAATGTAAGATTTTTTAAAATTTTTAGCCTTGATATGTTACTGAATGATTTAAAAATAAAAATAGTGATTCATTTCTCTTCGTATGTTTTTGTTGATTTAGAACAGTGTTTCTCAACGGGGGCAATATCACTTCCATGTGAGTGTTTTTCCATGTTGAGGAGGCGATTAGTAACAATTTATATTTTGGGGGTGAAAAACAATTTTCTGGGCGATATAGTAAAACACATTAAGAATAATTAGATATTTTATTTGTTATATCGTACAATAATTAAACAAATAACATTATACTAGTCATTAGTCTATTCAATGCAGTACGAATTTGGCATTAGCCTTTGCCTCGGCATCAGAATTTTGAAGTGAAGGGAGTGATGATTCGTTAGAGATTGAGAAACACTGATTTAGAATTACATTGATTCAAGAAGAGATTTTAATTCAAGAATTGATTATTAAGAGATTTTGATTATTTTCATACTTCAATTCGATATTGAAGTAACTCCTCAGATAATTTTATACCAAAAAATCCCTTTGTTACTTTTACTTTTTTATATTTGTGAATGTTGTATGAAATGTTATACAGTCTTCAAATAAGAGAAAGTTGAAAACTATTACAATAAGAAATCATGTCTCAGTGGATTAAATTATATGTTATAATAATAACAATTTAATATGAAGTAAAAAACAAAACATTCGATTTGTACTTTATTATATCTAAAAATTATAAGACAGATATTAGGATCATTAAAGATGATGATGCCAAGTTAGTTTTTCTACAGCAAATTTATAATTATTATATTTGCTGTATCTCATGATAAAAAATTTTGAGAATGTAAAATTAACTGATTCTTTTAAATAAGAGAGATTTTGTTTGTGATAGAGTTATATCTGTGTGAGGCATTTGAATAACACCTTTGTATTTTGATTTGTGATGTCTTTGAATTTTGTTCACTTATCTCGTAACTTTTAAGTTTTTAGGGGAAGAGTTTTGTTTATATGCTTTTCTATGAATCATTGTCATCATATTTTATAGAAAAACTAGCAGACCCCACCACGCGTTGTTATGGCTCAAAATGTATCTATTATAAATTTATAACACTTCCCCTGTGGGGGGGAGAATTTTTCGAAAAATTTCTTCTTGGTGTGCATTCTCTTGACGTACCCTATTAAAACTCAATCAAAAACGCAAAAACCTGCATCTAAAATAGTATAAATAGAAGCAGAGTTCTTTACGGTAAGCCTTAATCCCATCCATCTCCCGGGGGATTTTGATGTGTATATTATATAAAAACACGTGCGTATTCGAATGCAGCATTGTGTGAAAATTTCAAAGGAATCGGTAGGAACGAACGAACATTACATTTTTATTTATATAAATAGATAGAAGATGATCTGCTTTAGTTCATTTTCACAGAAAAGCATAATGCCTCACAGAAAAGCAAACTTAGGGCGTCATACTCGTAGCGCCATCTGTTGGACATAAAAGTCCTTAACCCTAGATTATATATATTAATTTATATGAATGTTTAATGGAATAATATACAGCCTATGTCCACCCTGAGGTTCCATTCTAAATATTGGTGAAAGAATTTTTGAAATCGGATGAGTAGTTTCGGAGATTACCTGCTGCAAACAAACTTACATACAAACATTACCTCTTTATAATATTAGTATAGATTTGGAAAAGTCTGTAAATTTCGTTTGACTGGACCATAAAGGTTCATTTTAGCAAACAAATTTTTGATGTCACTACCTGCAGACCAATCCACCACTGAAGACAAATCTACACTTTTAACTTTACATTCAGTTATTTTTATTTTGAAAGTAGTCTATACTAATATTATAAAGAGGTAATGTTTGTAAGTATGTATGTAAGTTTGTTTGCAGCAGGTAATCTCCGAAACTACTCATCCGATTTC